AAAAAAAGTTTTTTTGTGTGTTTGAGAGGGGGGGGGGGGAGGGGGGAAGGAAGTGAGATCACAAGTGCCAGCACTTCTGCCCTCTAACCTCCGCTGAAAAAAATTAAATTCTTTTTCCTGGGATAGTTAAATTCAATTCCAGATTTAGGAAACCTTGTTTTCTCTAAAACAGTATCAAAGCCTACCAGTGCCTCAATTATTATAATAAAATAAGTTCTAAATACCTATAAATATTGGTGTTTTTGTTGGGGTCTTTTTTAAATCATGGGGGGGGGAAATCAGATCTCTCCCCCTGTCCCCTTCACTGACAGGGGATTTAATATCAGCCTTCAACTACCTAAAGAGGTGTTTGAAAGAGGATGGAGCTGGACTGTTCTCAGTGGTGACAAAACAAGGAGCAACAGTCTCAAGTTGCAGCAAGGGAAGTTTAGGTTAGCTATTAAGAAGAATTTTCTCATTCAGGGGGCAGTAAAACACTGAAACAGGTTACCCAGAGAGGTGGTGGACGCTCCATCCTTGGAGGTTTTCAAGACCCAGCTAGCCAAAGCTTTGGCTGGGGTGATCCTGCTTTGAGCAGAGTTGGGCTAGATGACCTCCTGAGGTCCTTTACAACCCTAATTTTCTATGATGCTATGAAGGGTGTGGGTGTGGGCACAGGCAACATGTTGGAGGGGCAGGGAGGCACATGGCCTCCCAGATTTCTGCACCCACAGCAAGACGTGGGGCCGTAACCAAATAGAACCAGCTCCAAGCAGGAATCACGTCTGTGGCACAGCAGGTGGGACAGAAGGAGCACTGCCGTAGTAAGGCACAGCGGTAGCACAGAGTTGTGCCCCCTGCTATTGGTAGGTAGGCAGGGGGCACCAAACCTTGGCAGCCATGACAAAGCAGAACTCCTTGGTCCCACCCACTGAGCCATGAAGATGACTCCTGCCCAAAGCTGGCCCAGCCCAGCTGAAGCCCCACACCCTGCAGTGGGCACATAAATCTGCACCCCACACCCCTGCCATATTGCCTGCTCTCTACCAGCCTGCAAGGAGAAACCTCCTTTAAAGGGGAAAAAAATGTGGGAAACTGCAGAAAACCCACATTTTTTTTAAAAACAGAGAAAACAGAAAACCTGGATCCCTGCAGATAATTATGTACAAATTGCATTTGATTTACACTTCTGTAAAATTAAAATTGTTATATAGTACGGAAAAAACTTAATTTTTTTTTGCACAGAGGTGGCTTGAAACCCACTTAGTTCACAGTGGGTTGCTGAAATAATAATGAGCTACTCAGCTGCTTGCTATGACTTGTGATTCAAAGGGTGCCATTCTCCAATCAGCTGGAGCTCATCAGTCCTACACAACCAACTGCAGAAGTGGTGCCCTTTGAACTGCTACTACTACCCTGACAGCGGTTAGCTGGAGCACAAAACAGCCAAGGCAAAGCAGGATTTGTTAACTAGCTGACCCATATGCAAATCTAAACCTAATGAATTAGTGGAAGAGCTATATAGGTTGTAATGGAGACAAACTTGTGATGGCCAACAGTTTGATCTCTGCACTTAGCTCTAGGAAGGACTACTAGAACTTGCCATGAATTTACATCTTATTTCTTCTTAAAAACAAACTTTTCAAATTTGTTACAATATTTGTGGCAGAGAATAAATTTAACCAATTAAAACAAAAATTCCTTTAGTTTTCCAATAAGCCATTTCAAAATCTTCCTCCAGAGAAAGGATTTGGCTAGCTTTTGTTTTGAAGCTAAAGGTGATCTTAAATTCTAAAAGCCCTAGACAGGGCAAAGGGCTAGCTCAAAACATGTACAACCCAGAAGGATAACATGAGCAAAAGACATAATAGGCAAACTTTTGACAAAGCACAATGAGAACACCATGCAGAAAATATGAACAATGGCACCTTTTCTTTCGATAGAATTAAAACTTTAAAAACACAGAAAACCCCAGTAGCTATACAAGATTTCTGCAAGAAATATTTTCTCACTTAAAATTTTCATTTTATATCGTCTACTGACATTACCTAAGATTATAGTTTAAAGCAGGGATGTCTGCTGGCCGCATGCAGCCCCCAAAGGATTAAACTGCAGCTGTACACCGTTCTCCCCCTATTTGCTTTCTTGCTGCTTCTTCTGGAGTCCCTGGGCTCCCCCTCCCTCCTCCAGCTTCTGCTGCCTGCCAAACCACTGGGTTTGAGGAAGCTCATGGCCAGAGGGCTGGGGGGGGGGGAGCCTATGGGATTCAGGGAAGCGATCCATGAGAGTCGCATCTTGGCTCTAGGGTTGTCAAATAAGCGTAATAATGAGTTAGAAGTAACCAAGCAACTTTTTAGAAGAATGGGTTATGAGAAACTATTACTTTAAATATATATATATAATATAATTACTTCTCACAGAAAACTAGATTTTTGCTGTGCAACCTCCTTGCTAAACTCCCCTTTGCTCTGGGTTGGGTACTGCATAGCAGAGAAAACTTGACGTAGATCAACAGTGGCAGGAGGCAGACACCTTCAAGTACTGCACAGTAATCTCACCGTCAACTCTGCAATCTCTCTTGCAAACCAAAGTTCAGGCATTCTTCAGCAACAGCTTCGTATAGACTAATCACTGCCAGCAAATACAATCACTTATCTAAAACTGGAGAATGGAATGACCCAGAAGTCCAACACTGACACTCAAGAAAATCTGTTAGAATGTGAGAACCTCTCACCATACCATTCTCAGACTCAAACAAGGAGTTCTTCCATTTCCAACAACATTTCAATCCACACATGAAAAAAACCCTTCAATTATTATGGGATACAGAGAAAAACCTACGTGAACTGAAGTACAGGTTTCACCTCAAGGTATGCTGTCCATGCCTTCCTGGAGAACGGCGCATAAATCAAAGTTTGCATAAAGCTAGCCCACTTCACAACGTAACAAATAGGGACAGGTTTACATGGGGTGAGGGAGGGAGGGTGCTGCTCCACGGAACTACACAAAGGCAGCAAAGCAGGAGGGAACAGAGCAGCAACTCACCCCCAACCCCGGATGCAGCAGCCCCAGAAGAAGCAGGCGCCAGCTGCCTGCAGCCAGAGCTGCACCGTGCTCTGCCTGTCCCCATTCACCTCTGCTCCTGGGCTACCCCATGCCCTGGTGCGGGCAGCTGGCACCAGCCGCTCCTGGGGCCGCTGCAGCCAGGGCTGTGGCAAGTCCTGCACCCCACACTGTCAGGGGCTCTGCTTGTCTGCACTGACCCCAGCCCATGCTGGAGCAGCCCAGGAGCAGCCGACACCAGCTGCCTGCACCACGGCACAGTGCAGCCCAGGCACAGGGGGACAGGCAGAGCAGAGTACAGCCTAGCGACTGCAGGCACCTGGCACTGGCCACAACTGGGGCCGCTGCAGCTGGGGTGAGTGGGGTCATGTCCCTTTCCCCTCCCCCCATAGACTTATCTGTGGGGGAGGCATCTATGCTGACTACATAACAGCAAATTTACCTCACATATAATGAATTATTGAACTAAATATGCTCATCACATAAGGGCAAATTTGCATATAAAGAACCCACATAGAAGGAAATCTGCAATCCACCATTCATTTCCTGTGCCCACTGTAGACATTTTAGTATTAATGACTCATTAAGTCATACCCAATTTCGGAGGTTTATTCTGACATGTTTTACCAAGAGCCTGTTGACTATCGGCATTTTTAAAGCTTGTGTTCTTCTGTACCAAAAAGAGTAATTCATATAAATTCGAAGCAGAATTCAGAGAACCAGCTGGAAAACTGACTGAAATAATGAGTAAAATAGGATGTTAACAATTTCTAATTTCAAGAAGGTCCTGCTTTTTGAAAAATACTATATATTAACCACTAACATCACTTCCACAGAAAAACAAACACATTCACATTTCAGAAGTTATAACTCGGAAGCAAGTGACAAGCCTGCTTGGCTCCTTGAGGGCAGAACTTCCAGCTATTGGATTTTGTTATGTAGGTTAAGGAAGTTAAAACAAATGATGTCTAAAGAAACATCTATACATTTTCCTGAACAGAACTTTAGGGGCAACTGGTTTATCAGATTCCTCCACTGTAAAGGCTTCTTGGAATGAAATGTCAAGCGTCAGAATGCGTCTAGACCGGGGCAGGCAATTACTTGGGCCTGTGGGCCACACATGCCGTTCCAGGGAGCAGCTGCGAGCCAGTCAGCGCACAGCCTCAACCTGCGCCCACTCTGGACTCGCTTTGGCAGAGCAGACCAGCCAGAACCCGCATGCACAGCCCCAAACCCAGCCCACCCCATACCTGCTTTAGACTGCCCACCCATGGTGAGCAGTGGCAGCATCCA